GATGTTTGAACTGTATAAAAATTATTTGCTATAAACCCATAGCTTTCCGAAAATCCTTTATAAATAAACTTTATTATATTGAGTGATTGCTGCACGACACCAGATGGCGCTACGTGTTCATGCGAAATTGAACTTTATGCTGCATATAAAAAAGACATAAGCTCCCGCGAAAAGCCATAAAGAAAAAAAAAGACAACACGTCATTTTATTATCTGTTTCATCCTGTCATTGTAAGTTCCAGTCGGTGATGAAAAACAAACTTAAATTGTGCGATTTTGAAATTTCTAAAACACAAAGTTCAAAATCGCACATTTGTAAAATTGCACGTACCGCCCTCTAATGCTACCCGATGGTGCCAACCTGAAGTGTACCTTCGAGCGCGGGCGTAAGGTCGAAGTTAGTAGTTGCTTCGGAAGTTGCTTCTGTTGGGCTTGAAGGCGCCGCCACCGCCACCGCTGGGCGAAGAGTTTAGGAAGAGTTCTATGTAGCGGTGGTCCATGTTGTTTTTGTCGCGTCTCATCGCCTACGATACAAAAAATATTGTGAGGACAGGGGAAAGATTTGATTGTTTGTTTGCATTGAATAGGCACCAAAACTACTGGGGGCGTAGTGCGAGTTTACATCAAAGGCATTCGATATCGACTGCGTTAAAAAAAATATATGAAGATTTTAGTTCTTGAAAGTTTCCGCTAGGGGCGCTGTACAATCCGTCATTTTAGTGTCCCTTTTTAGTCTATATCGAATGCATTTGACGTAAAATCACACTACGCCCCCTGGACAGATTCGAAAAAATCTTTCACCATTCGAAATTCGGCGCAACTCCACGCTAAATTTTGTCAGTGTGTGCGTGCGCGCCGCATACGTATTGGCGCGCTCACATACAAAGCGCGCTCGGTGCGTTTCTATGAAGATGACCTACTCTTTGTATTTACTATGGTGTTAGCCTGTGAATAGTAGTAACAATACACACCCTCATGGCATCCTCGTGGCACTCGAATTCGACGTCCGCTTCGCCAGACGGCCGCCCGCTGTTGTCGAACAAGATGTTGATGTTAGCCGGCCGGATCGGCTTGAAGAACTGCAAGCAACACGCTCATTATATACCATGGTAATAAAGTTAATTTTAGTGTGAGAATGGTAGCTCATCTTCAAGAATCAACCATCTTTTGAAACAGGAAAATGGTTTGTCTACACTGTTGTGGGACTCGAAGCCTTTTAGAACTTGGGGCGTTCTCACTGTCGCTTTGTCGGCGCCTTAGGTCCTGTAGGCCTAAGATGCGCGCCGCGATAAGCGGTTATCACGCCATTTTATCGATTTTCCCCATACATTTTGACGTCGATAAAAGTTATCACGGCGCGCATCTTAGGCCTACTGGAAACGATAAACGAACAAACGGTACTGCAAGTCGAACGCGGATTTTTCTAATTTATCTAGTCTAGCATTTTTTTAATTTATTAAATGGCTTGGTATTTGTTTTTGGTAGCCAGCTCGCTGTGAGTTGATGTGACACATTTTGTATTGTCACTTAGAACATTTGTCTGATAAGTAAGCACTCATGAACATCACCATCGTCATCAGAGGTGGAATTGTGTAAAGGAATCGTTATCATTTGACAGTCATAACGTACGATTATTCTATCAAACGCTTTAACTGACTTTATCGTACGTTATGAACTGTCAAATGATAACGATTGTTTTACACAATTCCACCTCAGGTCATTTAGCCTCCACTGCAGGACCACGACTTTTTCTAATTTACCAGAATCAAATGGAGGATTTGGTATATTCTCTCCAAGCTGGCTTGACTGGTTAGGAAGGCCTGTGGGCTGAGTGTGAGTTTTAAAAAATGTATGAAAATTTTACATTTTGAACGTTTCCCGCTAGGGGCGCTGTACAATCCTGTCATACATTAAATGTATTTTTTTGATTTTTTGTCATTTAGTGAGCGCGTTTGATGGAAACTCACACTCAGCCCTCTGATGTTTGCATATTTCTGTCTTATTCGGCTCTTACGTCATCTAAACTTTAGATGACGTAAAACTTTAGATTCTAAAGAAAAAGAAGGAGGGTGGTTTTATGGTATTGCTACTGCTAAAGTAAGAACTTACGTAGGCTATATCCTGAGGGGTAGCCTTGAAGGGAAGGCCGCGCATGTGCACGCAGTGCGAGCCGCCGCCGCCGCCGCGGCTGCGGAACCCGCCGCGCCCGTTGCCGAAGCCGCCGCTTTCTGTTTAGGACAGAGGACACGATTATTCAGATACTCTTGGTCTAGTATACGCCAGAGAAAAATGTTCTAAAACAACGCGAACACCAAGATTTGACTGCCAGCTGGTCTGAGTCCAATTCGTGGTTACAAGTTTGGTTACAAGGTTAGGTCAGTCTTAGGTTTAGGTATACTTACTTAAAGAATAGTCTGACAGCAGTTTTGAATTCTTATTTTTAGGAAAGACCATTACTTATCTTTAATTCGAACGATAATAATGCGATCAACTGTTTGATGGGGTACTTATAAACCCCATTTACTAAAGTCTGGAAGCGTCCGCCAAAGAACCAATAGTTTCTGTGAATGTAAGCGCGCCTCCTGTAGCTCGCCTCTCGCGAAGGAGCCTCCTCTGCTTCTGAACCGGTCACTCCGGTCGCAAGGCGTCGGCCGGTAGCCCTAGCTACGGAGTGTCCCTAGTTCTCCATGGCGAGTGTAAGCGCGCCTCCTGTAGCTCACCTCTCGCGAAGGAGCCTCCCCTGCCTCTGGCCCCGAAGCGGCCGCCACTGAACCGGTCGCTCCGGTAGTACGGCGTGGGCCGGTAGCCCTAGCTACAGAGTGCCTCTGGCCCTCCATACGCGAGTTTAAGCGCGTTCTTTGTCGCTTACCTCTGGCAAAAGAGCCTCCCCTGCCTCTATTCCCGAAGCGGCCGCCACTGAACCGGTCATTCCGGTCGTACGGCGTGGGCCGGTAGCCCTAGCTACGGAGTGTCCCTAGCTCTCCATGGCGAGTGTAAGCACGCCTCCAGTCTCTTACCTCTCGCGAAGGAGCCTCCCCTGCCTCTAGTACCGAAGCGGCCGCCACTGAACCGGTCGCTTCGGTCGTACGGCGTGGGCCGGTAGCCGCGACTGCCGGAGTGCATCTTGCCCTCCATCCTCGAGTTGTAGGCGCGGACCTCCTCCGCGTTACTGATAAACACCTCTATGTACCTGCGGATGATTTTGAGGTTGGATTACTAGTGAAATGCTTTGGTTAGTGACGCTGAGTGTCAAGAAACTTAAGGGTTTACAAGAATTTTATCCAATTCAATAGGTATGGGTTTTATCACAATTATTACTTCTTACATGTAAAATCACGAACGAAAAATAATTTCTAACGTATCTTTTATTTTTAGCGTACTTGAATATAAGTATCAAAAATTTTATAGGTTTGGATTTACCATACATTTTAATAGACATTAATTACTCAACGTCACTTGCATTATTAATTTATTAAAAAGTAATTAGTATTTTTTTACATCAACATTTCATTTCAAAGCTTCTTTACAAAATATGTAAAAGATCTCAAATAAGATACATTTTAAAATGAAACAGGCCAAGTAAATTATTACTTTAAAAAATACAGTGTGTTGTGCATTTTAGTAGAAAACAAATTAATCACTATTGTGGGAAATAAGTTTTATTATTATTTTCAAAATTCTAAAATTGATAATGGTGACCTTAAATTATTCAAATGCACTTTTTTATCCTGTGATTGCTCAAAAAATACATCGTGTTACTCTAAATTCTGCTACCTAAATGGTGTTGAGATTTCAAATACCATAGACAAACATTTGTTGAAAAAAAATACCGAAAACAATAAACATTTCTCGTTCGTCTTCGTCTTCCCTCCGCCGCACCCGCCGCCCCGCTCCCCGCCGCCCTCTAGACACTTTAACATCCAATCACTGCTGCACATTACACGCTGCACTTTATTGTGCCACTACATTTTGTTTGAATTATCGAAATAAATTGCTTAAGTCTGGTCTGCGAGCACGTAGAATTTTGTCCAATGACCCCAAGCTACCCATCCTTATCGCTCGCGAGTAATTTAGTTGCTGTCGCGCTCGCACACTCACTGCGGGCGCGCGTCGCACAGTCGCGACAGCAATATAATTACGCGCGAGCTATAAGGATGGGTAGCTTGGGGTCATTGGACAAAATTCTACGTGCTCACAGACCGGGCTTTAGTTCTTTTTTATTACAACTACTGCTGGGGTGCAAATCCACCCCAACAACTTTAGCAGCTTGTATTTTTTTAGATCTTGCTTTTAAACTTACTCATTTTGATTGATCTTAAGTCGGGTCTCCAGCGCGTGTTTTGCTTTACACAATCAACAAAAACATTTCAACATGCAACAAAATTGCCTACAAAAAATGTTGAATGTTGACATGTTTTTGTTGATTGTGTAGAGCTTAACATGCGCGGGAGACACGGCTATAGGACCAAGTTACTTTTATTTATTATTTAGCAGTTATGAATAATTTTAATTAATTATACTTTATGCATAATCTTTCCAGTTTGTTCATGCCAAACACATTTCAATAGAATCAGTCAAGCAAAATGTATTGTCAAAAAATGTTAGCATTAATGTGCAGCAATTTAACCAACTCATTTTGATTAAAATATCTATCCCTTAATTTATGAGATGCAATCCCAAAAACAACTAAAACCCACCCAGTTGTTGCTAGTCTATATGATTTATAGTTGTCTATGATATAGAAAGAGGATATTTTAGAAGTTTGAACTGTCCCATAAAGTATAAACCATAGTTGGACCAGCAACAAAGGAGGTCCCAAACTTATCCCGCTACACCAAATATTATACTGCTGCCTCGGTTTGGTACGATTGAGACTGTGACGGCAGATTTTAGGTTATGATTGATGTCTACAACAAGGACATTTTTTGTGTTCATAAGTGCCAAAATACTGGTTAAAATTGAATAAAATAGTTTTAATTTGATTTGACTACCACCAGTGCAGTGTTAGTAACACTGCAGTATCTTAAAAAGGTTGTAGATGATGAAAGTTTGATAAGGAATTCCCTTGTTCAATTATGTAGCAATTTAACGATAGTTTAAAAGCAAATATCGTAATTATTCGAAGTAATTCTTGTCCTGCCTCAGGATGATAAGCATCCTGTCCCATAAATGGAACATTGGTCACAAATGGCACATAGATTGTATATCTTTTCTGGGCACAGCCATTAAACGTTCATAGGAGCCATATTTTAAAAGGATTTCATCAGAATAAAAGTCCTTCATTCTTAACAACTCAACTCAGACTGAAACAAAATTAGTAAGACACGGGTCTCAACGTGACATTTATTAATGAGTCATAATTTAGTTGAAATGGAACGCGAAAGTTTAAAATCTTATATCAGACTGAAACAATTTTCAAACGCATCATAACCAAAAACCGCCACCGCAGCTAACACGCCAGACCGGGCGTAGTTAAACATAGTCCCCCCACCTGTGTCCTATTTTCTCTCTGTCCCTGTTGCGGGCCTCCTGTGCGTGGCCCTTGTCAACGAAGTGAACGAACGCCTCGCCCGATGCCCGCCCCGAGTGGTCCGATAGCAAGTGCACCCCGTCCGGGGCGACGCTCAACCCTGTCCCGCCCAAGTGGATTAACAACATGTCACAAGTGGCCTAGAGATGGCTGTGGCTTTCAAAATAATAATAAAATCTCCTTTGTAACGCCTGTATCACAACTCAGCTGCGATACCATGACAGCGAAAATATTTCAATATACATCTCTGCAATGTGACGAAGTAAACGCGCAGATTTATATTGAAATCGTTTCGCTGTCATGGTTTCGCGGCGGAGGTGTGCTACAGGCGTAATTGAGCAATTTTTTGTTTTTATTATTGGATTTTACCAGTGATTAAAGGGCCACATTTTAAAGTCTAAATACTATGGGGTACATTTGCACCCCAAAAATTTTCGAGCCCTTGAATGCGGCCCTGGTATAACCGGTAAAATCTTATAAAAAAAAATCTCTCATAATGTTCTAATTGTAAAAACTGAACAGAATCGAGTTTGAAATTAGCATGCACAACTTTGAATTAATTCTAACCATCTTGTATTAAAAATGTCAACGTGATTGCGTAAATTGAAAGAAATAATAAATAACTACCACAGCACATCTTCAGGATGAACTACACATCCCCGTGGGTAAAACAAATCGCAGAATGTTGAAGTGTGATTTATATTCGGTTAGTTTCAAAACTTACCATCGAAGAACTGGATGATCTCATCTTTGGAGCACCCAAAGGGCAGCCCTCGGAGCTTGACTATGCCTAAGTCATCGCTCAGGTTGGGAAGACTGTCGAAGCCGTTTTCACCTTGGCGCATGGCGTTTAGAGCCCACTCCATGTCTTGACGGTCAGTAGAAAAAACTGTAACAATTTTTAGAGTAATTTTATTAGTAATCATAAAGATGAATTTTCATACAATTTGTGTAATATAAGCTGAAGCAAGTCTTTTGAATCGTAAAAAATATTTAATAGTAACACATAAGTGACAAATGATTGGATGTTTAATCTGATTACCTTCAATGTATCTCTTTCCCATATTCTCCTTGTCCTTCTTTAGGGCTTCTTCCACATCCTCCTGGGACTCGAGCTCCACGAAGCATTCACCCGACGGTCGGCCTGGACGGACTTCAGTAAGGTGAACTCCTAAAACATTATTTCATCGCACATTTTTAGACTCAGTTTATACATTGATGCAGAGGGCCGACACCAAATAAAATGGGAATGGGCCAGGCAAAGAAGAAGTTTATACATTTATGTGACAAAATAGCACTATATCACAACTACATGTCTTGGTGTTAACCTTGATGTTCAGTTGTCTATACTTATGAATCATGTTACTCCTATGAATATGTAAAACTTCTATTTGCATAAGCAATAAAATACAATGCAGTGATATCACTATTCTGTAGTCCCACCTACTTAAATATCAGTAAAAATTATGATATGGTAAAAAAAGCATACCTACATTTATTTTGTTTTAGTGACTGATTTAGAATCGAAAACTTTCACACAGAAAATCTCTTAATTTAGCATGACAAACATTGGCTTGAAGAAAATAATAGTGATTGATGAAATTGGCAACTGTATAGGGAAGGACGCCAAAACGGGCTGGAGATCAGGCCGCAAGGTGTTAGATAGCAGATTTTTCCGCAACATGAGCCAAAAAACCCAGGGAGATGTATTCTATCATTTGTTGATACAAAATTGTGTCAGTTATTGCTTATTGCCACTTTGGCCTGGATAGATAGATTAGACTGGATATTTAAAATGTAACAATAAAGCTCAATAAACCGGTTTACAAATAGCTTGTGCAAATTTTGCAGCACCACTTTTTGGTGTTTGGGTAAAAAAAATCTAAGACTTGAAAAGCTGTCTCTTGTAAGTTTATCTCTAAAATTCAATTGAGATTGATTAAAACATTGGATTATCTTACCTTCTTTTCCATTGATGATGTTGATGCCACCCAAGAAATCGATGACATCTTCCACGGTCGTGGAGAAAGGCAACCCCCGCAGTTTTATGATGTGGCCGTTGTCCCCGGACCCCAACATTTTCAACTTGTACGAAGCAAAATTTAAAAACACTAATAAACTTTTCTCGAGGAATAACTCCGCCTAAAGATTTTGACTCAGTAAAAGTCGCAAATTAAAAATAGCCTCATTCACATTCACTCAACAGCGGCGTCTTCTTTTTTCTGTCAGTGGCATTTTAGTGATGTGTCATTAATAGTCGATAGTGAGAAAAAAAAAATTATTTTACATGAATTATAAAACTAGTACATAAAATAATATTAAGTGAAAACTAGTACATAAAATAATATTAAGTATAGCCTGACCAGGAACATAAAAACCCTCGCCATGTTGCGGAAAACTAATGGTACTAATTTCTTTTAATGGCAACAGTAACTGAAACTTCATTGACATGTCACCTTGCATGTTATTTGTCAAAGTGTAAACAAACTTTATTTTAAATGTGTGCAATTGATTTTGTGAATTAAATTGCTAAAATATTTTTATAGTCGTGAAAGAAAAGTGGTTCACAATGTGTTAATGTATTTGTCGAAGAGAAATACTAACGGTTCGGACAATATTTTCATTGAATAATGTTTCCGACAAAGGTTGTCAAATTGACTGACATGTATATCGTATAGTACAGTCCACTATGAAAATTAGCTGTAGTCTGTTTCAACTACCTATTTTAAAGTTTTTTGTCACTTTCTAAGTTTTGAATTTTATGGAATTGGGAAAGAAGTACCGAGTTTGAAGCGTTCATGAGCAGACATTGCAGTTGAATATTCAAGTTCTGAATTTGATTATTGATGAATAATAAAATAAATCCTACTAGCTCGATTGATGGTTTCATTTAATTTATTTAAACCAGGTTACCATTAATAATATTTTTTCGGTAATTTATGAAAATATCAAATTAGCCCGTAATCCTGAATCCTGATACATAAATTTAGCCTATTAATTTAACACATGTACGACTGTACTCAGTGTTGCACTATCAAATGCAATTGAGGCGCCTCTATGCCAGGGTTTTTATGTTCCTGGTCAGGCTATAAATTATAAAATACTTATTATAAATATTGATTTACAACAGTTATAGTGACCATAATCAAACAGAAAAAAAATGAAACAATACAGGATGTTAGGTAAATGGGTATAAGAGCCGAGCCCGACACTAACCCATGTTAACATATGCATATTGCATATAAATGGTATAGTGAAGTCAGAAAATTGATATAATCATTTTAATTTTCATACAAATATGATTTTACAAATTTTATTTTGTATGAACATTTAAAAAATTTAAATGATGCAATTTAAATGCTATTTATGTTTGTTTGTTTGTATGCGATACAAATGCATACATTTGGAAGTGGTCAGTTACCTCTCCAAAGACGCTTTTTTAATTACATTACGAAAATTTATCTATAGCTCTCAGAGGAAAGCCAGCGGTGGCTTCCTACAAAGAAATTGGTCAGTTTTTAAAGGAAAATGAATCTACTCTTTGTGTTTTTTCAAATCGCGAAGGTGTCAAGTTTTTTTGCTATCCAGCATACGCTCCTCACTTCGGAGGTATTTTGAGCTGAATTTTTGAAGCTCGAATAAAATCAGCTAAACATCATATTAAACGTGTAATGGGAAATACCCACCTTACTTTTGAGGAGATTTCTACATTGTTTGCGCAAGTGGAGGCCATCTTAAATAGCCGACCCTTGTATCCCTTATCTTCCTCACCAAATGACTTCATCATGACATAGACCGCAAATTTGCTATGCAGATGCGCCAGTGAGTACTAATCTGCGCGACTTGTGTCACCCCCTGATGCTTGGCACCCGGGGGACCGCCCCCACCGCCCCTCCCTTACGCTGCTACTGCTAGGCAGAGTCGCCAGACTATTTCCTGGTACTGATGGGATCTCCCAGGTAGCAGATGTCACCACCGTGCGAATGTCCACTTCCTTTCCTAACTAAATCGTAATTTCTAATACATGTAATTGTTTGCTATTGCTTTGTCGCAGGCGTTTTTAAACTTCATACTATTTTGTACGGTCAAAATCACTTACCTTCCAGTCGCCGCGCGATACGCACTATTGTAATACATTTTCAATTAATACGAAATATTCATCAAACCTGAGTTTTATTGGCTCCGAATGTCAGCGAAGACAATATCAAATTTCTGACTTCACCATACTATTTATATGCATATAATGTTAACATGGGCTAGTGTCGGCTGATATACCCATTTACCTAACACCCTTTATTTTGCTCTACACATTCAACAAAAACATCTCAACATTCAACAAAAGATGGGATGCGGGCATGCGGGTGAGTGCGAGGAAGAGTCGCATTCCACGAGGTGCGCAGTTAACGTGACCGGGTTGTACTATGAACAACAGTCACTCAATCAGGGCAACGATCTGCGGTCCTGTCCTGGCAGGACAATCTATCAGCGTTTGTGACGAGACAATCTGTCAGAGGTGCAATTTACGTTCATTGCACAAAATCAAAATCGCAACTTGCAACAGCGATGCCCAACGCAATGGGACCCCATTCAGCATAATAATATGCCGTGGCCCCTCCGGTCACCGGGGGAAGGCCCGATGGGGAAGATCACAGTCATGGTTTTCAGTGTGCGCCATTTAGATAATTATGTGTATGCCCCAAGAAAAAAGGATGAGGGTAACTAAATTCATTGTTGCTTTGCTTTATTATATTTTATTGCATATATTTTATTGCATAACTAGCTTTCCGCCCGCGGCTTCGCCCGCGTGGAATTTTGTCTGTCACAGAAAAACTTTATCGCGCGCGTCCCTGTTTCAAAAACCGGGATAAAAACTATCCTATGTTCTTTCCCGGGACTCAAACTATCTCTATGCCAAATTTCATCAAAATCTATGGACAATTCTATCGATGAAAATACTTCAAATTTGGGGCCTGACCCATTTCTCGAAAAAATTCCCAGCGGTTTCCATAGTAATCGGAATAGGTTGTATGATTTTTTCAGGCAGTGCATTTTCGCATGTCGCGTGCGCTATGGAAACCGCTGGGAAGGGGTATCTTTATTCAACAATTACGTCGAAACTAATAGACGTAGACTAATAAATTTACATTCGTTTTGTAGAATAGCTCAAATACTAATAATACAATGCAAATAAAACATACATTAACGACCTGGTTTTTCTTGTGTTGGAAAAAAACTGAAAAAGAAGTGAAAAAAGTAATGTATTTTTCTAATTCAATCCATTCTTACTCCCATAAAATGTATGAAACTTGTGTCTGCTTTCTTCTTCTGCTAATAGATAATTTTATTGGCTATAGCATGATATAAAATATTTTAAGCTACCCACGCTTTCACTTGTTTTTTAAAGAAGAGGTGTAAACTAAAAATTAAAAACTTAAATCGATGTAATTTTTCGAGAAATGGGTCAGGCCCCAAATTTGAAGTATTTTCATCGATAAAATTGTCCATAGATTACGCTCTTAAAGTTTGATCACTACATGCCCGGACACACTGTATAATCATTTTTATCCTAATAGGTTTCCGGATTATCGATATTAAGTAAAGGTCTCTTCCCAACACATTTTACGATACGTTCGAAATGTATATTTAAATTTTGATACATTTTGTGTTTTTAAGGCGAGAAATGTATTAAAATTTTAATTAACATTAAAATGCTAAAGATATTTTGGACCATATATTGGGGATATTTTTTTATAATTGAAAAGTTGAATTTTGATTATTTATTTTTGGTTAGTAAATAATTTGACGCTCATTTTAAATGTTTGGTTTTTGAACGTTCTTCTGGTATCAAAATGGCGTCTTGGAAATGTTCCTTTTAATGTTTTTTTTATTACAGTTTTTATAGTTGGTGACAAAATTTACATTTTACGTGTAATTTTGCTTTTAAAAGATCAGTTTAGTAGTCCTTTTTTGCCGTTACTTTTAAAGGAACATAAGTGTCAGGAAGAGAATAATTGGATTTTTTCACGTTCCTCGTCGCCTCGTCGGTATTAATTTATTGATTTGAACCAACCAAACATATTTGTCTGATCATTTCAGTTTAAATACATAGGATTAAATGATGACTGTTGACGGAGATGAGAAGCCTCCTCGGGATCGAGTGTTCATGGACATATCCATCGGTGGCTTACCTTCTGGCCGGATTGTTTTCGAGCTATTCAACGATGTTGCTCCGAAAACAGCGGAAAACTTCCGCGCATTGTGCTCTGGGGACATGGGTGTTGGTAAGGTGACAGGCAAGCCCCTTACTTACAAGGTAAGTCCCTAAAATCATGCTCCATAATAGCCACTTAAAAACGTTCCACAAAACCTAGCTTGATTGTAACGAGTTGTTGTTTAAGCTAGTTATTGATACTATATTACATGTTGTTTTTAAGGGCATGGTGTTCCATCGTGTGGTGAAGGACTTCATGATACAAGGTGGGGACTTCACAAATGCTAACGGGACTGGTGGGGAATCCATCTATGGAGGAACTTTTGAAGGTAAACAATAACCTATTCTGTAATAGACTTCATTAGCTTCTCCTAAGTTTTAAGTTAAGTCAAAGCTTACTAATTGACAAACACTGTACAATAGTCCACCCATAAGGTGGAGCAACGACCTGATAAAGGTAGCGGGAAGGCGCTGGATGCAGGCCGCTACCAACCGTGCGATGGAATGTCATTGTCATGGAAGTCATTGGGGGAGGCCTATGTTCAGCAGTGGACGTCCTGTGGCTGAAATGAAGATGATGATGATGATGAAGTACAATAGTCTGGTCGCACACTCACTGCTGCTGCCTGTCGCACAGTCGCGACAGCAATATAATTACGAGCGAGCGATAAGTATAGGTAGTTTGGGGTCATTGGACAAAATTCTACATGCTCGGTGACCAGACTAGAAATTATTATTAATTAATAAAATTGTCTGCATTAATCTCACAAATATTTTTGTTTCTAGATGAATCGTTTGAGCTGCAGCACGATCGGCCCTACTTGTTGTCTATGGCCAACAGAGGCAAAGACACTAATGGGTCGCAGTTCTTTATGTAAGTTGCACCTGCTGGACATTGGTAAGATCATTTCAGTTAATAAAGGGAAGAATGTAACAGCAATTTGATATTGAAGACAGTACAGTCGACAGCACATCAAGCTATACATTTTCGTTGCAAAGTCGCCCCTATCGCAACTACATAAGATACCACAGTGTTTACGTTGACGTGCTGTCGACTGTACATTGTATTTAGAGTGTGTTGGTGTCGTTGGTGATGGATCATGGATTTAATTTCTTCAATATTTACTAATCTTATCAGTATTTGATGTAAGTTAGGGTCAGGAGATCATTAGTTTAAAGCATTATGTATAATTTTCTTTGTAGTTACTATAATAGCCAGGTCCAGAGCGATTTTTAAGCTGTGCTGTAAAGCTTGTGTTCTATAATTAAATCACAACTAAGATGGTAGGTTCGAGTCCTATCTAAGTAACATTTTAAGAGCAGAATCATACATTTTTTTTTAGACATCAGCAGCTGGTGGTTGCCCTATCATTTAGCGAGTATCGTGACCAGTAGTAATTCTACAAATGTAGTTATTGACCAACTAAGTATCATAATGTGTAAGTGTGTATTATGATTGAAACCACACTTATTTGGTATAAGTTTAGTGTAGGCTCGGTAGCCATCAAGTGATCAAGTGACAAAAAGGCGGGGAAAAGAATGACATCTGTCAATGAACATAACCTCACTTTTTACACACTACAGTGTGAGTTCGGTGTTGACGCTCGCCGTGTGTTGTAGAGGGCGCGGCGGTCGCGGCGCTGTGCAGCCGCCCGCTATCATTCTTGTTCTGTTCTGTGTGTTGTAGAACAACACAGCCGGCACCGCATCTCGACAAGTGAGTATACTGAGCACTAATTTTACGCATTAAACTTATATTTAACATAGGCCCAGAACAGACGGTGAAACGCAACTGCAACGAAACTGCAACTTTGTGATGATTCTGATGAATGAAACTGAAAGTTTCAAACTGGTCGCGTCATGTGTGGTCTCTCAACGGCCGCTATGGCAGAAACTTAGATGCAACTCAAAAGTAACTAGCAGTTGCAGTCTCGTTGCAGTTGCATTTCACCGTCTGTTCTAGGCCTTAGAACTTTGGGATTTCTTTTCTAGTATTGTGTTGTTTTCATTTAAAAATAAGTAGTTGATTAATGATCAAATAAGCAATAAAATTAATGATGAAGAAAATAAATTGTTTAGTTGTTTAGTTTTCATATAAAAGGGGCTTAGGGCCCTCACCCATGGCGAATTTTTGTAGTGATGCTGTCGGGCGTTTCGTAAACCACCGACAGCATCGCTACCAAAGCGCGTTAGTCGCATTTGCAACGCACCACAGAAGTGATGCCAACGCGCTACTAACGCGATATAGCAGCGCGACTGTATTGATGCAAACGCGCGACCGTGTCGGACGACATCGGGGAGAGAACGGAGGGAGAGTTAGTGCCTTTTCACACGTTCCGGTTGCCGGCTATCCGGCGCCGGGTACCCGGTGGTGAAGTGTATGGGCATGGTACGTAGCTTTCACATGTTCCGGCGTAATTAATCCGGCATGCCCATACATTTGACGCCGGGTAGCCGGCGCCGGTTAGCCGGCAACCGGGACGTGTGAAAAGGGCCTAAGGCTGGTTTTACTGTCACGCGGACCGTCCGGTGCGGACCCGCTCCGCACGGCCAATCTGTATCAACTTCTAGGGAGCGTTTTAGAGTAATGCGGTCCGGAGGAACCGCTCCGCTCCCTAGCAGTTCATACAGATCGGCTGTGCGGAGCGATCCGCACTGACAGTCCGCGTGACACTCAAACCAGCCTTACTGGATCGCGTTTGCATCGCGACAGAAGTGCGTTTATGTGGGCGAGGGCACACAGCTAGCGAGTAGCGACCGCATTGTGGTATCGACGTGAACGCGTGACAGAATTGCTATTGCATCGCTATTGCATCGTTACTGCATCGCTACAAAAAGTCGCCGTGGGCGAGGGCCCTTAGGCGATTATCACACTGCGCCGCGCTATAATCGCCTTAACCTTACTAATGTAGCCGCATGCCTGAGACTCGAGGTGTTGTACGTTCGCCGAGTTCACGAGTCTCTGTGCGCCTATCCTCAGTGGGTCGCGTCTTTACAAAAATGCCGTAACAATTTTTTAGAACCAAAATAGTTTTACGCCGCGATTTTTTTGAACGCGTCATTTCAAAAACCAAAGTAGCTTAAATTTTTAGAAGTGTTTATTCCAGTATCGATAGACATTGTAACCTCGTCTTCTCCCGCAGTGTGCACGTAGTGTTCGGGCACGTGGTGGGCGGCGCGGCGCTGGTGCGGCAGCTGGAGGCGCTGCCGGTGGACCGCAACGCGCGCCCGCTGCAGGACGTGCGAGTGGACAACTGTGGGCAGCTCGTGCGGCTTAAGGCGGGTGAGTGGCGAGTGAGGCGGGCGAGTGAGGCGGGCGAGACGGGCGAGTGAGGCCGGCGAGTGAGGCGGGCAAGTGAGGCGAGCGAGTGTGCGGCAGCTGGAAGCGCTGCCGGTGGACCGCAACGCGCGCCCGCTGCAGGAAGTGCGCGTGGCCAACTGCGGGCAGCTCGTGCGGCTTAAGGCGGGTGAGTGGCGAGTGAAACGAGCGAGTGAGGCGGGCGAGTGAGGCGGGCGAGTGAGGCGAGCGAGTGAGGCGGGCGAGTGAGGCGAGCGAGTGTGCGTGCATCTCACACATTCGTTCGTTTCAGCCGAAAAACGTCCACTGCTGGACAAAGGCCTCCCCCAAGGTTTTCCACAAAGACCGGTCCTTCGCCGCCCGCATCCAGGCGCCTCTCGCGACCTTCATTAGATCGTCGGTCCACCTAGTGGGAGGCCTGCCCACACTACGTCTTCCGGCTCGTGGTCGCCACTCGGGAATTTGTGGAATACACATTACTAATAATCTTTAAAAAAAAAGTCATGTCAGAAACTCTATTTCTAAGTTATTTTTTGTTACAGGAAAAAAGCGCAAGCAAGACAAGGAGAAAGTCAAAGAAGAAAGTGATGCCGAGTCCGAGAAGTCTCACAAGAAGGACAAGAAGAAGAAGAAGGACAAAAAGGAGAAGAAGAAGAAGAGGTATGCCTTTTATTTACTTTTTATGGATAAAAATAACATATCTGTGGTCCAATGGACTATTCCCACCTCTCGTTCCCACAGCTAAAACTCCTGTGTAGCCAGGATCTACAGCTTGACCGCCAATATAAAACCCAACCGGTGAAGGTCAAGTTTGTCCCGGGAGAAAGTAAAACCAGGCCTGTTCATCTCCGCGAGTTTACATCGAAAACAAAACACGCACGATGGCCCACCTACTGGATACTATTCGACAAGGCCTCACATACGAGCGAACATTGACTCACGCACGCGTATTCTTGTGTATGATGGAAGAAAATAAAGAAAATGGTGTACTAAATACTGTGCAGTATTTAACTGCCTAAATAATAAAAACACAAGATGTACTTTTTTAAGTTGCCTCAAGACACTGAGAGGTAAATAAGTGGTTAATATTATTCATGATAATTCATGCTAAATCATGTATTTCCTCCGCCATTTTCCGCAGTTTGGCACCTCACGTCACATCATTTTACCGAAGTCAGCCCTATAGCTTCGGCGCAGTGCCGATCACTGACGTTTGTCAACAAAATGGTGCTTGACTCTTGAGACAGGCTAAATTACACCATATTGTTAATGACATTGAGCATACATTTTTTTAAATACCTTCGCGAAGTAAAACTTCTGTACGTAGTACTTATTATTATTCTGTGGTAAAACTGTCATTGGATCCGCATCGAAATTAATCAGAAGAACATAGGAGTTAATGTTCGACTTCCCTCCAGTGCAAATAAAGACTCTTTCAACTCTGTGCATTTAAAGATTTGTCACACTGGATGTGTTCTGTTGGCTGAGATCAGGTCAACGTAGCCCGTCTCATGTATGAACAACTTTGTCAGTAGATAGATGATTTTTTTTGTGATAATGATTTCTGCAATCAGTCGCCAGACTATAATCAGATATGTTGAGTATCATTTTATTGTTAAAGAGCAGCTGGCCTATGCCTAAGCTGTCTTCTTAAATTACGTGGTTTCTTTTTAGCCTTTGAACCACGTTGTCATTCTCCAGTAATCCATAGGCGAGTGGATTGGGGTGATGAGTAAGACGTTCGATGTGCAGTTTCTCGATGTGGTTCACGAGGAATGATGAAATACACAAGTACTTGAACATTGAAACCGTGGCCACAGAAATAGAGCGATTTATTATTATTATTATTGGTTTTTGGGCCTTTATTTGCGGCAACTCGACCAGGTTTGATCTATGGTGGCAGCCCTTGTCTTTAGAGTTCACTGCTTAGTCCCGTTGAGTCTATAAATTTCCAGATTCTTTGGAGCGTGATATCTGCTATCTCATCCGGGTGCATGATGTGTCGCCCGAGATGGATACAATATGTACAATAATAGAGCGATACAATATGATTAGTTACACAGAGTTTCTTCAAGCATTTCATATCATACTTTATTAATTCCTTAGACATCATTCTGGGGCATCAGAAGAGGAAGAGGAAGGTGAACTTCCCTCGCACCCTCTGGCCGTGACCTCCAAGATAGACCCCAAGGAGATCCCCGAGGTGCCGGCCAACCGCTTCCTGATGCGCGGCGGGCGAGACCAGGACAAGGATAGGAATGACTTCAGGAAGGACAGAGAGAGGTATACTTGTTATAGGTAGCTTTTAGGTAATTTGTATAAAGAGGAGGGCGAGATACTTTTGCACCCTTTAGCCGTCATCTCTAAGATAGACCTCAAGGAGATGTGATGTGTGTGGAGAGAGAGACGGCGGCCGGGACCAGGAAAAGGATAGGGGTGACTTCAGGAAGGACAGAGAGAGGTATACTCGATGGAGGTGTTCTTAAAAGTTCTTATTTAACTTGCAATAAGAGGAAGGCGGGCTACCTTTACACCCTTTAGCCGTGGCCTCCAAGATTGACCCAAATAGATCCCCAAGGTGCCGTCCTGATGCGAGGTGGGCGAGACCAGGACAAGGATAGGAGTGACTTCAGGAAGGACAGAGAGAGGTATACTCGAAGGTTTCCCACAAGTTTTTATGTAACTTCCACTGGGAGGAAAGGAAGCTGCCTTCGCCCCTTCTCGCGGTGACCTCTAATCAGGGTTCGAGGATATATATCAAGGGATATATATCTTGATATATATCGGATATATATCCGATATATATCCAGCCGGTTTTGATGATATATATCAATTTTTAAAATTTGTAACTGTATTTGTACTTTTTCACATAAGATTTTTGTTTTTTAGTTGATTTTGCCGTATTTACAAGAAGATTTTATGTTTTTGCTTTATTTGTCTGATTTTAAGTTTTAAAAACATTAAAAACATGTTTATGTAACACATATGCAATGGTATTCATAAATAATACAATAAAATAATAGTATAGCTTTCATACAAATTTGATATATATCAAAGTGGATATATATCGGATATATATCATAAATATCCGATATTTTGATATTTATAATAAATATCGGATATTTTCGAACCCTGCCTCTAATATCGATCAACAGGTTCCTGATGCCAGGCGGGCGAGACAAGGACAAAGATAGGAAGGACAGAGAGAGGTATACTCGATTGAGGTGTTTTTCATCATCATCATTTTAGCCACAGGACGTCCACTGCTGAACATAAGCCTCCCCCAATGATTTCCAGGTGGGCCGGTGGGTAGCGGCCTGATTCCAGCGCCTTCCTACTCCCTTTGAGGTCGTCTTTCCATCTTATAGCTGCGTTTTCTGGTACGTAGCCGCCACTCCAGAACCGGGCAGCAAGATTCATCAGTATTCATTCTGCATACAATGTGCTCTGCTCATTGCCCCTTCAGCACCGTCTTACTTTAACATTGACATCAAAATTTTGGATGTCAAAAGTCTGTCTAACATAAAACACCGGTTATTGTCAGTTAGGGTCAAAGTTAGGTGGTGCATCTCAGCCTTAGTGTATTTTAATTAAAAATACAAATAAGGATGACAAAAATAATCGATAAGTGATCTCACTCGAATATTTCTTATAGTAGGTATACAAGATGTCGAACAAATGGTTACTTACTGAAAACGTGCTTCATGAGACCTAGCAAACGGCATCAATAATAATATTATGTTTAAGAACGAACTGAATCTATTCAAAAAACCTATATTTCCAGCTTTCATACATTTAATACAGTTACAAACAAACACGAAATCAATGGTTTCTGAGAATTCTGAGTGCCTTAATGCCGTCCCCTTTATCTTTTTATTTAGTATTTATTAATTAGTATCTCTTGATGATATTGTTGCAAGTTTAACCTAAAATCATGTTTTCCGTAAATAATTTAAATAAGAAAGCAATTTACGAGTTTGTTGTTTGATTATTATACAGGGTGTTAGGTAAATGGGTATATGAGCCGACACTAGCCCATGTTAACATGGGCATATAAATGGTATGGTGAAGTCAGAAAATTGATATCATCATTTAATTTTTTTAAATTTTCATACAAAATATTTTTTTTTAAATCCAGTTTGTATGAAAATTAAAATAATTAAAGGACATCATCCACGTTTCATATATTTTTGGTCCAAAATCAAAAGTGCCGGCCAACAAAAAAAAGTGCTGTATTCTGACAGAATACGTCTGCCTTAGCATTTGTTACTATGGCACCAAAGCCGTAGAATGCTCCACTGTGCGTCGAGTATTTGAGATCTAAAAGTCATCGACTTTCATACATTTTTTGTTCAAAATCAAAAGTGTCGGCAAATAAAAAAAAGTGCTGTATTCTGACAGAATACGTCCGCCTTAGCATTTGTTACTATGGCACCAAAGCCGTAGAATGCTCCACTGTGCGTCGAGTATTTGAGATCTAAAAGTCATCGAGATCTAAAAGTCATCGACTTTCATACATTTTTTGTTCAAAATCAAAAGTGTCGGCAAATAAAAAAAAAGTGCTGTATTCTGACAGAATACGTCCGCCTTAGCATTTGTTACTATGGCACCAAAGCTGTAGCACCACTGTGCGTCGAGTATTTGAGATCTAAAATTCATCGACGATTCATACATTTTTTGTTCAAAATCAAAAATGTCGGCCAATAAAAAAAAGTGCTGTATTCTAATAGAATACGTCCGCCTTAGCATTTGTTATTATGACACCAAAGCTATAGCACCACTGTGCGTCGTAGTATTTGAGATCAAAGTCAGTCGTTTCATATATTTTTAGAACTCAAATACTACGATGCACAGTGGTGCTACAGCTTTAGTGCCATAGTAATAAAATGCTAAGGCGGACGTATTATATCAGAATACAGCACTTTTATTTTTTGGCCGGCACTTTTGATTTTGGACCAAAATGGATGATGTCCTTTAAGATATCAATTTTCTGACTTCACTATACCATTTATATGCCCATGTTAACATGGGCTAGTGTCGGCTCATATACCCATTTACCAAACACCCTGTATATTACTCAATTAAAAAAATAAATTTAAAAAATTAACACTTCTAATATGGTAGGTATGGCTGGCGGCATACTTTCAGTATGAAATTCGGAAACATTGAATTTTCGCATAGATCCAGTTTATTCTTTGACCTATTTATTGTTATTGTTTTAAAGAGCTCATGAAGCACTTACAGGAACAGTAAACAGTTTCTCGATATCTTGTATAATTAAAAATCAAGTGAAATCACTTATCGTTTCCACCCTGTACCTATACTTTTAAAAATAAACTCATTTTATACGTTTATTTGTATATAAGTATCTACAATACAAATACCTAACCAACTTAGTTGACGTTTTATAAAACTATTTGTCTAAGTGTCATCGAGCGACCCCTGGTGGATTTGCCATTTACCTGACCTACCCCTTTATTACTAAACGTTACCAATTTCTTTCATTCAGTCGTCAGTAATTGANCCTCTAATATCGATCAACAGGTTCCTGATGCCAGGCGGGCGAGACAAGGACAAAGATAGGAAGGACAGAGAGAGGTATACTCGATTGAGGTGTTTTTCATCATCATCATTTTAGCCACAGGACGTCCACTGCTGAACATAAGCCTCCCCCAATGATTTCCAGGTGGGCCGGTGGGTAGCGGCCTGATTCCAGCGCCTTCCTACTCCCTTTGAGGTCGTCTTTCCATCTTATAGCTGCGTTTTCTGGTACGTAGCCGCCACTCCAGAACCGGGCAGCAAGATTCATCAGTATTCATTCTGCATACAATGTGCTCTGCTCATTGCCCCTTCAGCTTGCCTTGCCAATTGCCCCTTCAGCTTGCTTGGAGGTGTTTTTACTAGCTTTCATTTAACTGGGAGGAAGGCGAGCTTCCCTCGCACCCTCTGGCCGTGACCTCCAAGATTGACCCCAAGGAGATCCCCGAGGTGCCGGCCAACCGCTTCCTGATGCGCGGCGGGCGGGACCAGGACAAGGATAGGAATGACTTCAGGAAGGACAGAGAGAGGTATACTCGAAGGTTTCCCACAAGTTTTTATGTAACTTCCACTGGGAGGTAGGAAGCTGCCTTCGCACCTTCTCGCCGTGACCTCCAATATCGATCAACAGGTTCCTGATGCCAGGCGAGCGAGACAAGGACAAAGATTGAAAGCACAGAGAGAGGTATACTCTTTGGAGGTGTTTTTCGTCATTATCATTTCAGCCACAGGACGTCAACTGCTGAACATAGGCTCCCCCAATGATTTCTGAGACTGGCCGGTTATTAGCGGTCCTGCGTCTTCCTGCTCCCTTTGAGGTCGTCTTTCCATCTTATAGCTGCGTTTTCTGGTACGTAGCCGCCACTCCAGAACCGGGCAGCAAGATTCATCAGTATTCATTCTGCATACAATGTGCTCTGCTCATTGCCCCTTCAGCTTGCTTGGAGGTGTTTTTACTAGCTTTTACTTAACTGGGAGGAAGGCGAGCTTCCCTCGCATTCTCTGGCCGTGACCTCCAAAATAGACCCCAAGGAGATCCCCGAGGTGCCGGCCAACCGCTTCCTGATGCGCGGCGGGCGAGACCAGGACAAGGATAGGGGTGACTTCAGGAAGGACAGAGAGAGGTATACTTGTTGTAGGTAGCTTTTAGGTAATATGTATAAAGAGGAGGGCGAGATACCTTTGCACCCACTCGCTGTGACCTCTAGATCCCAAAGAGATCCCCAAGGTGCCGGCCAACCGCTTCCTGATGCGCGGCGGGCGAGACCAGGACAAGGATAGGGGTGACTTCAGGAAGGACAGAGAGAGGTATACTTGTTGTAGGTAGCTTTTAGGTAATATGTATAAAGAGGAGGGCGAGATACCTTTGCACCCACTCGCTGTGACCTCTAGATCCCAAAGAGATCCCCAAGGTGCCGGCCAACCGCTTCCTGATGCGCGGCGGGCGAGACCAGGACAAGGACAGGGGTGACTTCAGGAAGGACAGAGAGGTATACTCGATGGAGGTGCTTTTCTTCATCATAATCATCATTTTAGCCACAGGACGTCCACTGCTGAACATAGGCCTTCTAGACTGGCCGGTTATTAGCGGTCCTGCTACCCTTTAGGTCGTCTGTCTACCTTTCAGGTGGACGTCCCACCGTCTCAAAACCTTGCTGCCCCATCGGCTGGCATTTTGCGTACTATGTGCCTTGCCAATTGCCCCTTCAGCTTGCTTGGAGGTGTTTTTACTAGCTTTTACTTAACTGGGAGGAAGGCGAGCTTCCCTCGCATCCTCTGGCCGTGACCTCCAAGATAGACCCCAAGGAGATTCCCGAGGTGCCGGCCAACCGCTTCCTGATGCGCGGCGGGCGAGACCAGGACAAGGATAGGGGTGACTTCAGGAAGGACAGAGAGAGGTATACTTGTTAGAGGTGTTCTTAAAGTTCTTATTTAATTTGCAATAAGAGGAAGGCGGGCTACCTTTACACCCTTTAGCCGTGACCTCCAATATAGACCCCAAAGAGATCACCGAGGTGCCGCCCTGATGCGAGGCGGGCGGGACAAGGACAAGGATAGGGGTGACTTCAGGAAGGACAGAGAGAGGTATACTCGAAGGTTTCCCACAAGTTTTTATGTAACTTACACTGGGAGGAAGGGAAGCTGCCTTCGCACCTTCTCGCCGTGACCTCCAATATCGATAAAACAAGAGGGCCTAGTGTGAGTTTACATCAAAAAATTACATTAAATGTATGACGGATTGTACAGCGCCCCTAGCGGGAAACGTTCTAAAACTAAATTTTCATACATTTTTTAAAAACTCTGTAAACTCATACTCAGCCCAAAGGTTCCCAATGCGAGGCGGGCGAAACGAAGACAAAGATAGGAAGGATAGAGAGAGGTATACTCTTTGGAGGTGTTTTTCATCATTCATTCATGTTAAATAAATAAATAAATTATCATTTCAGCCACAGGAAGTCCACTGTTGAACATAGGCCTCCCCATAATTTCCAGATTAGTAGCGGCTTGCATCCAGCGCTTTCCTGCTACCTTTGAGGTCGTCTGTCCATCTTATAGTTGCGCTTTCTGGTACGTGACAGCCACCCCAGAACCTTGCTGCCCCATCGGCAGTCATTCTGCATACTTACTTACTAGCTTTTATGTATCACTGGGAAGAAGGAAAGCTCCTCTCACACCCTCTCACCCGTGACCTCCAAGATCCATCCCAAGGAAATACCTGTTTTACATGGAAGTATGAACTACTGATGTTCAGCTCTTGATGTTTTTGTGCACTATTTGTTTTGATAGATCATGGAAAAGTGAAAATTACCTATTTTTAAGGATTTTTAACATGGATTGGTGTACTACATTGTATGCGAAATATAATTAATTCTATTGGTTTTTAACATATTTTGTAACAGTTTACATGTTGTGTTTTACAGTTTCGCTCAGTTTTTGATGTAAGTCAGATGGGTTTAATATTTTTTTATACAAAAATCACTGTTATCTTGAGTAATTTCCATTTTTTTTGTACTTTATTTCAATGTTTAGTGTAACAACGTCAATGTTTTCGGGTTCCAATCTTGAGCAATGCTAGTAGTGTACTGTTTTCCTCTATTAGTGTACTGTTTTTCGGTGTACTATCTTTCTCTCTTGTTTTGGGACTCCAAAGAGAACTCCAATAACATCTAAAAATGTATATTTCCAGGCAGAGGTTCCGTGAGAGGGATCGTCACTCCTACACCCGTAGCGGCAGGATTATCAAAGGCAGAGGTGTTTTCGTAAGTATTACTGTTTGATATTTTTTTTAAAGATACGCGACAAATTGCTGTAAATTGATCCTGTGTCCTCTTATTAATAATCAATTTATGATTTTTTTTAAGAGCTGTAAAGCAATTCATTTGACAGTTCAATACATACAATAAAATCTGTTGTTTGACAGAATATAGCGTAACGTTTTGAACTAAAAATTGAATATGATTGCTTTACACAATTGCACCTTTTCTGATTGGGCTCAAAAGACATGTATAGAGCCCCTTAGAGCTTACTTTCTATTGATAAGACGTTGATAAGTATTATGCCAAACTTAGGTAAACATCATTTCCAAAAGTCCGTCCCGCATGCGATCTCTTCTTGGGTAGATTTTTTTTAGATCGTAATCTGTGGCCCTGGCGGTCGAGTGAGGCTATAAAAATAGCTAAAGATCTCTAAAAATTTGATGATTATATTAACTATAGTCTGGTCCGTGAGCACGTAGAATTTTGTCCAATGACCCCTAGCTACCCATCCTTATCACTCGCGCGTAATTATATTGCTGTCGCGACTGTGCGACTGGCACCCGCAGTGAGTGTGCGAGCGCGATAGCAACATAATTACGCGCGAGCAATAAGGATGGGTAGCTTGGGGTCATTGGACAAAATTCTACGTGCTCACGGACCAGACTATTTTTGAATATACCTGTATTGTTTTCCCACAGCGTTACCGCACGCCGTCGCGGTCGCGGTCGCGCTCGCGGTCGGTGACGCCGCCGCACTGGCGCCAGGCGCAGCGCCGCATCGTAAAGCTGTCTGACATCGAGGTGGGCTATGTGTCAGACTAAATTTTGTTAGAATTGAGATATTTTTTTTACCCTACCTTTTTATTTTGAAGTAGCTTTTGCCCGCCCTTGAACCGCGTTTAGTTTGTCACATATCGTCTATGTGTTATTCTGGGTTGTAAACAATAATACTGTAAAGTTTCATCAAAATCCGTTCAGTAGTTTTTGCTTGAAAGAATAACAAACATCCAGACATCCAAACTTTCGCATTTATGATATTAGTAGGAAGTAGGATAGGATATCCCCCTATTCGTTTTTCACTAGAATTATAATCGTGTCGTCATATCCAAGTCTCATGACATTTTATTTAATTCTAGTCAATAGTATGTAATCTTTTAATAATTTAGTGCTTTCATCAGGCCTGGCTCACTCCGCGCGGTACATCCGATAATTACCTACAGCGAAGCGCCCCGCCGGCGGGTATTATATCAGCCGAGTGTCACGCGCGCGCCCGTCAGGACGCTGGCGTGCGTTGTAGTACTTAATTCTATGATCGAAGATAATATAAAGAATATTATTTAAAAATGGACATAAAGAGAAAGAAATATTGTGCGGCGTTCGGGTGTTTAAATTCGGAAAGAAATCTACCGGATTTATCTTTTTTTCGCTTCCCAAAGATGCTGAAAGGTATGTTGGCCATGTAGGTATTTTTAGGATAGTATAGGAACCTAACCTACCATGACTACTGCTCAGAATGCGTTCGTTCGTTTCAGCCAAATGACGTCCACTGCTGGACAAAGGCCTCTCCCAAGGTTTTCCATAATGAATGCGTACTTACCTACATACGTACCTCATTACAAATAAGTAGATTAATTATTTTTTCACTAGACAGCAACCCTAACAGCGTAAGAAGAGTTCAGAGGCACGCGATAGAAAGAGACAAAACTTGTAGGTGAATAAAATTGTAGGTACGTAGTGCTGTGCGAGCTGAATTCCACTGTATCGCGTCGTAGGAAGACTCGCATTTATTTAAATCGTCTTGCGGAGTAATCCTTCTGTACCTGTACTATTACTTATTCTGTGCTTTCATTTTGCTGTGTGTATTGTCTTCTACTCCCTGTATAATATCGACTCATTTTGTAGCGTGTGGAGCACGAGCGTTCCGAGCGTGATCATCAAGAAGAAATGAAGAACAAGCGAGCAGAGAAAAACAGTAAGTGCTATATCTATCAAAGAAGTAAAATAATCTAATCAGTGTGTTAGCCTGGCTGCATCATCATCATCATCATCATCATCATCATCATTTCAGCCATAGGACGTCCACTGCTGAACATAGGCCTCCCCCAATGCTTTCCATGTTGATCGATTGGTAGCGGCCTGCGTCCAGCGCTTCCCTGCTACATACCAGAGACTTTTTAAAGGACGATAGTTGGGTCGGGCTGTTAATCAGTATGGACAAGTATGAAAGTGTGCAAATTACACCGAGTTGGTATCGGCTAATTCTTCATACAAATTAGAATCGGGCCCAACAATCGGCCGACTAAAATTCTGTAGGCTGGGTGAGGTCTTACGCCCGTATTCACAAACATTACTATGACGTGTCACAGTACGCGTGGACGCACAGGGTGACACACGAACCAATCACAGAGCTCTATTCAACGCTGTGCGTTCGATTTTCTGCTAGTTACAATGTTCTCCACCATAGATCTAACTTTGAATGCTTTTATACACCATCTAATCATTGTGTTAACTCTTCTTATAGAAGATGAAGAGGGAGGAACTCCGGAGCAACCCCGCGAAAAAGAGGAAGGAGAATGCGACACCACATTAGGTTTGTAATCATTTAGTAAAGTACGGCCAACGAGAAGCGATACCAAATGTCAACAAACCCAATGTCATGGGTGAATCTGTCTGACTTTGACATATTTTGGCGGGAGAACGAGACATTACGACAAATACACAAGATGGGAAGAGACAGAATATATTGTCAGCTCGACCTTTTGTATCGCTGCTAGTTGGCCGTACTTTAGTTATACTTAACTGTTCAGTAGTTTTGTTTTGTAGATGAGATAATATAGCAAGATATGTATAAAGACGTTGATTCAAACCAATTTCTCTTTCCAGAAAAATCGGCTCATGAGAAGATTGACTACAACGCGCTGGATTTCGAGGCAGATGTGGAGCATGACGGTAAATATATCGATTTTCATGAATATCTTCTTCTTATTATTTCGCTCTTGGCAGATAGCGGTTATGGTCACGTTGAGGCGATGTTCAAATCGGTTGTAGAGATGGATACAACCACAGATATGGATTAGAGTAGATACAGCAAGTTGATCGTCAAAGCGTGCCATTCCGATATGTCCAAATGGACATACATGGTCGAGTGATGTTCATGTAATCCGATTACAACAATCGGTTACGATGATTTTACGAGGACAGTAGTACGAACACGGTAGAAAGAAGAAATTATTTACGGATTGAGAATTGTATTTAACAGCACAAGTAACAAATAATTAATTAGAATAAAGTAGAAGAAGTTTAGAGTAGCACTGTTTTTAATACATATCCTGCGATGTACTCTTAAGAGTTAAAACCATGGTCCCTGTATGTGGTGCACTCATACCGATCCCAAGGAACCGTACTTACTCATAACAATAAGACACACACTGATCCATATAATCATGCACTTGTCAATTATGTCTTGAAACGCTGGTAGGGTAAAAAAAATAACGAGAATTGACTATATGTAAGAATTAATTTATTTTAAAAAGGTAAATAAAGATGTTTTTGGTTTTGTATTTAATTTTAACAAACTATCAGTTTTATCGGAATTAATTAATTGTCGAATCGAGTCACACGATATCTTTCGATGACTTTGCGAATGCAGTACGTTTTTTACCACATTGAATTTTGTCGTTTAGAAATATCTTCAAAACTAGATACCTGACTTAGCTTTATGAAACAAAACGTATTGGCAAAACTACGCATTTTTACATTTATTAAAAATAAAAAGCTTGAGTAAATAATCTTTATTTTATAAATTACTAGTAGTACTATTTAACATAATGGAATAACGATCATTACTTTCATAAACATTAGGCACAACAAAAATATTATCTGCAAATTAATAATGTAGAATAACGTCTACCGCTACAAAATTATTTTAATCCACAGTCAGACTAGCTATAAATTTAACAAAATATCAGTTTTATCGGAATTAATTAATTTTCGAATCGAGTCACACGATATCATTCGATGACTTTGCGAATGCAGTACGATGATACGATTACTTTTACGTTGCGGCAATCACTAAAATTCGCTAAAATGACACTAATGACGTTTAAAAAGTGGCACGCTCGGCTTCATACAATTTTTGACACATGCTGCATCTATCCATATCTGTGGATACAACTCTCCGCACTATCTCCCGCCATTTCTCTGTGTTGGCAGACTGTCACTTGGTTGGTCCAGCGCATTAGTGACCTGCCATGAATATAACTACACATAATATCTGTTATAATATAACAGACCATTATATTATAATGGTCTCTTCTTTCGTTTCAGTCACGTCGTTTCAATGACGTCCACTACTGGACAAAGGCCTCCCCCAAGGTTTTCCACAATGAACGGTCCTGCGCTGCCCGCATCCAGGCTCTTCCCGCGACCTTTACCAGATCGTCGGTCCACCTAGTAGGAGGCCTGCCCACGCTACGTATTCCAGCCTGTGGTCGCCACTCGAGAACTTTCCTGCCCTCTGTCTTGGTCAGGTGGTCCTTGGTCAAAGTCAAAGTCAAAATTTCTTTATTTGTTTAGACTAATAAATAGTTCTTACAAATCGTCATAATAATATGCTCTTAAGGAGCCTCTACATGTCTCATAATCTTTTTACCCTACCAGCGCTTCGAGACCAACATTTGGCAAGTGCTGAGAAGGTCTTAATGGTCTCTTATATCATGAGTAATCTCGAGAGGCGACCATGGACTGGAAATACGTAGTGTGAGCAGGCTACTAACAGTGTTTGAGCAAAATTTGCTATGACATTTTATAAAGAACTTCAACTATTGCGTCTTCATCAGCTAAATACGTGTCCAGATTCGGGGCACCACCCACCACTCACTTCCCACCGGGCATTCTGGGGCCCAGGGCCCATGAGAGGCCTTGCAATATGCGATTGTGTTGTACAAACGCCAGCACATCAGCCTTTACATTTACGTAGCAAAAGTTCACAGGCAAAAGCCTGACCAGGAACATAAAAACCCTGGCATAGAGGCGCTTCAATTGCATTTGATAGTGCAACACTGGGTACAGTCGTACCTGTATTAAATTAATAGGCTAACTTTATGTATCAGGATTCAGGATTATAGGCTTATTTAATATTTTCATAAATTAACAAAAACGTATTATATTATAGGTAAACTGGTTTAAATAAATTAAATGAAACCATCAATCGAGCAAGTAGGATTTTATTATTATTCATCAATAATCAAACTCTGAACTTGAATATTCAACTACAATGTCTGCTCATGAACGCTTCAAGCTCGGTACTTCTTTCCTAATTCCATAAAATTCAATACTTACAAAGTGACAAAAAACTTTATAATAGGTAGTTGAAACAAACCACAGCTAATTTCCATAGTTGACTGTAATATACGATAAACATGTCAGTCAATTTGACAACCTTTGTCGGAAACATTATTCAATGAAAATATTGTCCGAACCCTTAGTATTTCTCTTCGACAAATACTTTAACACATTGTGAACCACTTTTCTTTCACGACTATATAAAGATTTTAGCAATTTAATTCACAAAATCAATTGCGCACATTTAAAATAAAGTTTGTTTACACTTTGACAGCAATAGACTGACATGCAAGGTGACATGTCAATGAAGTTTTCAGTTACTGTTGCCATTAAAAGAAATTAGTACCATTAATTTTCCGCAACATGGCGAGGGTTTTTATGTTCCTGGTCAGGCTATACAAAGACATAAGATCCCACGGTGTTTAGCTTGGTGTACCATCGTATGCACGACTCCTCAACCTTTGTTAACCAGCTTTTTAGGGTTCCGTAGCCAAATGGCAAAAAACGGAACCCTTATAGATTCGTCATGTCTGTCTGTCCGTCCGTATGTCACAGCCATATTTTTCCGAAACTGTAAGAGCTATACTGTTGAAACTTGGTAAGTAGATGTATTCTGTGAACCGCATTAAGAGCGTTGTAGCAAAAAGTTGGCGTTCGAATTTTAGGTTTTTATTGCTTGACGTCGCGGAGTGAGTGCGCAAACTGCATTTATCTGTACAATTTCACCGCTGCGTCGACTAAACGATCTTAATCCGTAGTTGTATCGTACCTAAGACAGTAGTAGGTACATCATNGATTTTGATGCAAAAATAAAAAAATATTGGGGGCTCCCCATACTTAGAACTGAAACTCAAAAATTTTTTTTCATCAAACACATACGTGTGGTGTATCTATGGATAGGTCTTTAAAAATGATATCGAGGTTTCTATAATATTTTTTTTCTAAACCGAATAGTTTGCGTGACAGACGCTTCCAAAGTGGAAAAAAGTTGCCCCCCCCCCCCTCTAACTTCTAAAATAAGAAAATGAAAAATCTAAAAAAAACATAATGTGATGTACATTACTATAAAAACTACCAACGAAAATTGTTTTGAACGAGATCTAGTAAGTAGTTTTTTTTAATACCTCGTTTTATCTACAGAGGACCCAGAGCACGTGCGCGCGCGCAAACCAGCTGCCGAGAAGCCCGAAGCGCGCCGCGCGCCGCGCAGTCGAGCTGACATGTTAGCGCGCGCGCTGGGCGTCCATCCGCGGCACGACCAGCGGTTAGTAGAATAGAATAGAATATAAAACTTTTTATTTGCAAGAAAGGTATACAAGCAGGTAAGACATAGATTAGCGTCTTAAAGGCCACCTTCTATCAACGGGAGCGCGTGGTAAGTAACTTGCTTCTGAATGTATGTAACTTCCTACTTTTTTATATTTTTAAACCGGCAGACAGTGGTGACTGAGTTTGCTGCGGCGCTTCTTCTCAGCACTTGCCAAATGTTTGTCTCGAAGCGCTGGTAGGGCAAAAAAAGAATGAGACATGTATAGGCTCCTTAAGAGCATTTGACGATTTGCAAGAACTAATTTAATTAGTCTAAACAAATAAAGATAATTTTGATTTTTGATTTTGATTAAAACTGAGAGAAATAAACAAGTGGACAATTAGCGTACATCAAGACCGCCAGGGCTTGTCTTGAAACTGATTTTCAGCGGGGGCTTTCTGTTGTCACGGCGTACCCCTGCTGACGGAGATGCAAGAGGAGAAAGGAGTCCACTAGTCCGGCAGCAGGCAGAACGCAGCAGTTAGTGATATCATTACTAAATAAATACAGAGAAATAGTTTGTGAAACTGTTCCTCTTCTTCTTTTCGTGTCGACAACAAACCTACAGTGTCAGCCCAAAACTCCGCCACAAGAGTGGCGTTATCAGCAGCATTCATCAAATCCTCCTGAGGGCAGTTGCTTGGGCACTCAGGGCACGACATCAGGTGCTTCATCGACTGGGGAACAAAACTGCACCTGCACTCCATGTTTAAGCAAGAATCCCCACCTGACCAGATTGTCCTTACTACGGCCAACCTGCATCCGAAGTCTATTTAAAGACTTCCAGGTAAGTCAGGGGAGCTCACGTGAAACTGTTGTACAACAAGGAGTATTAAAACACGAGTCAAATTCAAAAATCAAAATTATTTTATTCAATTTTGACCATTATTGTAACTTGTACCACCCTAGACTGCATCTCACTTAAGATTAGGTGCGATTGCGGTCAAATACCTGCCTTGTCTTGCATAAAAAAATAATTTTGGCTAACGCTGTTCAAACGTGTTTTTTAGAGGGCGTAGTGTAAGTTTACTTTCAAACGCGCTCACTAGCGAATGCGTTTAAAAAATATATGAAGATTTTAGTTCTTGAAAGTTTCCGCTAGGGGCGCTGTACAATCTGTCATACATTTAATGTCATTTTTCACTAATGAGCGCGTTTGACGCAAACTTACACTACGCCCCCTGATTCAGCAATCATCGGACCAGAAGCTTGATATTCACTTCACACATTTAACCCTTTTTATTATTTAACATTAATTTCCAGAGAAGGAATGCCGCTCCGTCGCCGTGACGTCCCAGCATCAGCAGTATACTCCGCGCCCAAGCTGTCTTCGGCTGTCTCCAATATGGCGGAGGGCCTGGGATCGGCCAGGCCTCACGAGGAGAGGGACAACGAGGGCGGTTACGATCCCTTCAGTCTGCTGAGAAGCACCTTCAAAGGGCGGGAGATGGCGCAAAGGTAAACATTTTTTTATGTTGTATCACAGAATAATAATAAGTACTACCACAGAATAATAATAAGTACTACGTACAGAAGTTTTACTTCGCAAAGGTATTTAAAAAAATGTATGCTCAATGGCATTAACAATATGGTGTAATTTAGCCTGTCTCAAGAGTCAAGCACCATTTTGTTGACAAACGTCAGTGATCGGCACTGCGCTGAAGCTATAGGGCTAAACTTCCGTCAAACTTCCGTCAAAGACTTCGGTAAAATGATGTGACGTGAGGTGCCAAACTGCGGAAAATGGCGGAGGAAATACATGATTTAGCATGAATTATCATGAATAATATTAACTACTTATTTACCTCTCAGTGTTTTGAGGCAGCTTAAAAAAGTACAATCTGGGTTTTTATTATTATTTAGGCAGTTAAATACTGCACAGTATTTAGTACACCATTTTCTTTATTTTCTTGCATCATACACAAGAATACGCGTGCGTAAGTCAATGTTCGCTCGTATGTGAGGCCTTGTCGAATAGTACCCTGTAGGTGGGCCATCGTGCGTGTTTTGTTTTCGATGTAAACTCGCGGAGATGAACAGGCCTGGTTGTATAGAAATTTCATCACTAGCAACACACACTGGTCAAAGACTAGATTAGAGACACTGCGGTAGCTTTCCGAATGTTTGCCAATCGAGTTGGATTCGATGATTTTTGTATTTTTTATATCCAAATCGAGGAAGCTATTGGTCTATACCTCACCTGATGGAAAATGATGATTAGGCGGTAGAAGCGGGTTTCATCGACAGGAACTGGCTATCTCACCAGTTACTTATTGGCTTAGGTAAGATAGTGGTAGTTAGCCAGGTGGACTTGAATAAGCCTTACTACCTACTAAACTGAGCAGGTTTTTAGCAAAAAAATACACAGAAAATCATGTTACTTTCAATTTTGCAATAATATTCTCCGACAATAGTGTAGATTGATAAACCATTGATCAGTTCAAATTCACTGAGTAAATTACGTATTTAATTGCAGGAAGGAAGAACGCCCTGAGCGCTCCGAGCCCCGTCGCGAAAGAGAAAAAGAAAAATTCCACGACAAAGAAGACAGACGCGACAAACACAAGAGCGAGAGGGAGCGACACATCTCCGAGATGAGCGACAAGGACGACGCGCGCAAACCGGAAAAGTCCGATCGCCGACCCGAACGGAGCGAGGACAGAGATCGGAAGACAGAGAGGAGCGAAAGAGACGACCGAGACCGCAAATATTCTGAAAAGAGCGAGAGAGACGACCGGGATCGCAAATACTCTGAAAAGAGCGAGAGAGATGACCGCAAACACGATAGCAAACATGCGGACAAGAGCGACAGAGATAGCAAGTACGATAAGAGGGACGATAAGCGGGACCGGTCGAGGGAGCGAGACAGATATAGGGACAAGAGTGAGAAGCGTAGGGATGACGACAGGAAGAGGGATGAAGATGATAGGGACAAAAGGAGGCGGTCGCGTTCTTCTAGCAGGGGAAGGAGGTAAGATTTGATAATATTCTTTTAACAATTTTGAAAAAATACAGTTTAGGATTCTGTAAAGCCTGGTCCGTGAGCACGTAGAATTTTGTCCAATGACCCCAAGCTACCCATCCTTATCGCTCGCGCGTAATTATATTGCTGTCGCGACTGTGCGACGGGCGCCCGCAGTGAGTGTGCGAGCGCGACAGCAACATATTACGCGCGAGCGATAAGGATGGGTAGCTTGGGGTCATTGGACAAAATTCTACGTGCTCACGGACCAGACTATAGTAATTAATACTTAGTTGTAATTTGAGCTTTGCCACGCTTATTTTGTTAAACGATTAATGATAATATTCTGATGTTACAGCATGAAAATTGGCTTACAGAAATGTTTGCCTCGAAGACAGTATGTTTGCCTATTTCTTATGTGTTGATAATGATATGTAGTGGCCTTTCTTTAGTACAATGTGGGTTCTTTCAGTAGGTCTCGAGACCGCAAACACTCTGCGTCGAGCCATCGCGAGAAAAGTCGGGACAAGTCGCAAGATAAGTCGCCGCAAGAGGACGACAAAAAGAAGGTCAGTTTAACTTTTAGAATGTGAAGTATGGTATAATTATGTTTCCTTGTTACATTTGCAGTCGATTGCTCATAGTATAAAAGAATCAGTAACATTGCGTGGTTATTAATATTAAATGAAGAGGGTGCAGAGGTCTTAAAATTTACAAGGGTCATAATATTTTGGTATCATGCATTTTTTTTTAATTACTTCTATAAACGCTTTCTCTTATTACTTCCAGAAAAGGGTAAATATTGACTTTTAATCCATTAGGTATAAAAAGGCTAAAGAATATTAACACTATAGTCTGGTCTGCGAGCACGTAGAATTTTGTCCAATGACCCCAAGCTACTCATCCTTGTCGCTCGCGCGTAATTATGTTGCTGTCGCGCTCGCACACTCACTGCGGGCGCCCGTCGCACAGTCGCGACAGCAATATAATTACGCGCGAACGATAAGGATGGGTAGCTTGGGGTCATTGGACAAAATTCTACGTGCTCACAGACCGGGATTTAGTAAATAATAGTTGAACATTTAATTTTGTATGAATTCAAATTGACTTTAAATTGTTTTACAGGAAGAAGAGCGCAACGAAGCTCGCAAAGAGCTGATGGAGATCGTCCGCCTCATCAAGTCCAGGCAGCGCGACCGCGAGAACAAAGCCGCAGGTTCGATACTAGTTCTAGATGCTTTACCTACGCTTATTTATAGAAGACTGTCTCACTCACTCTTGCCAGTCTTGTCAGGGTGGGGGAGGGAGACGAATAGACTATTTCGTAACATTATCCATGATTTTCACTTTCGTTTCTCTCATTTCGTGATGCTTAATATTGTAATGCATGTAATGCTCTCGCTTTTTTTTAATAACATTATTCTGATGTTGTTACGTTACTGAAAATTAAGCACCTGTCATTTTTTTTAAGTGTTTATAAAATTAAGTCAATGAGGGTTTTCGCGATTGAAAAATCCGCCAGATGGCGGGACGCGGACGTGGGGTCCGACCGCTGCGTGATTGGTGGATTTTGACATATCTGTCAATGTCATGTCAAAAATAACCAGCAACGCAGCATCTGAACCCCGCGTCCACGTATCGCCATCTGGCGGATCCTGCAATCGCGAAAACCCTCATTAAACAAGACAAAAAAGTTCTAAAATACTATACTTTATTTATTTATTTATTTTTTTTTTTTTATACACAACGAGGAAGCTCTTGGCCTTTTAATTTCATATTACGGGTTAAATCACTGTTCTTACCAGATTTCCATATTGGCACTGCCCTATGTATTTACACCGCGCTTAAAATCGCAGCAAATAATATTGTTTATTCATTTATTCGTTGACAATGCTTTTGCTTTCCATTCCGCTTTTTAAATATCCTTTATTACCAAGTGAACAAAATACTCTTTACACATCACATTTTCCCAAGCTTTTCAAAACTGGCTTTTAACTAGTAAGTAGTGCTTCAGTAAGTAGTCGACTAGTGGGTACATAGTTGGTGTTTATATCACAACAGAAGCGAAGAAGCGTCGTGACTCCAGTCGCAGCTCGTCGGGCTCCGAGCGCGAACGACGCCGCCGCGAGCGAAGGAAGCGAAGCGAGAGCCCTCGGTAAGTTGTGATATTGAGGTTCTTTTGTAATTTTGGAATCGCTAGACGCTAGACAGTTTGTACAATCTTGGAATCGCGCGATTGTAGACAGTAAACAATCTGAATCGTTTATAGTCTGGTCTGCGAGCACGTAGAATTTTGTCCAATGACCCCAAGCTACCCATCCTTATCGTTCGCGCGTAATTATATTGCTGTCGCGACTGTGCGACGGGCGCCCGCAGTGAGTGTGCGAGCGCGACAGCAACATAATTACGCGCGAGCTATAAGGATGGGTATCTTGGGGTCATTGGACAAAATTCTACGTGCTCGCAGACCAGATTATAGACAGTGTAGAATCTTGGAATCGCGCGTTTGTAGACAGTAAAAAATCTGAATCGTTTAATTGTATAACCCGGTCGAACTACCTCACTGGAATGCGACTATCCCTTGCACTCATGCGCATACCTTCTCGCGTTCGCCCCGTCCGTACCAATGTCGATGTGACGTCACGGCCGTCTGGTGCGCAGTTAACTCGACCGGGTTGTAGATATCGTTCACTTAAGCCCAGAACAGACGGTGAAACGCAACTGCAACGAAACTGCAACTGCTAGTTACTTTTGAGTTGCATCTAAGTTTCTGCCATAGCGTCCGTTGAGAGACCACACATGACGCGACCAGTTTGAAACTTTCAGTAACTAGCAGTTGCAGTTTCGTTGCAGTTGCGTTTCACCGTCTGTTCTGGTCCTTAGAGTTCGGTATTTAAACTGTATAAATTATGTTTCGCTGGGCACAGACATGTCTCAAGATATTATTAACTTCAAAAATTTTGGAAACTGCCTAAAATATGACCGAGCCTGTTTCACTGGTTCATGATTAAGTTTTGAATTTACTGGTGAATTTATTCGCTAAACATCTAAGATCTGTGAAACTAAAAGTTATAGATTATATCAGACAGACAAGCTCCTAATAACCAAGTAGCAAAACAGGCCCTTATTGTTGCTTGAAATATTGGTAGTTTTTGTTTAACGAGTAAGTAAAATTGACAATTTTGTTATTATATTTATTTGTGGAAAATCAACCCTTATGCAATGCGAAAGTTAAAATGTAATATAGTATCTTAGTAATATAATAATAAAGATTACTATTTAACCCGTCAGGCGCCGCCGCGACAGTACCGAGCGCGATTCCCGCCGGCGCCGGCGCCGGTCGTCGTCGTCGCGCTAGGTGTGTCTGCGCCTAATGTGCACGTGCTATGTTTGACTACGGATTATGATGGACACACGTTGGGGATTTACCCACCATATTATACACTTCGTCATAATATTATGTGTTTTTTGATAGCATTTTCAAATTTTCTTTTCTCTTTAATCTTGTTTCTAGACTTTACACTTTATAGGGCACTGGCTACTATGTATTAATTTATCATATATTAGATAACGATTCTGAAACGTCAAGTGGCAACAATGGGAACTATATTAACCCAATATAACTGATAGTAGCGCCCTCCTGTCAATGTCATAGCTGGGACGGTTCAGTGTTGTCCAACGTGGCGAAAATGGTAACTAATAACCCAACATTGATAGTGGCGCCCTCCTGTCAATGTCATAGCGTTGGTCGAAAAGAAATGAAAATTTTAACGTGCTGTGCCCTATGAAGGGTTAAGACACGGCAATTATGTTTAAAATGTGCTTCTTACACCCGAACATCTTGATTTGAACACTGCACTACAGTTATCCGGGATACACGATGAATGTCGTTACCACACGCACCATGAGTAGAAAATTAGGATTTAAAAAAATATGTCTATGAAATAAAGTTACTTTAGCGACTCAATTTAACTTGTGTATACAAAATAAATGAATTGTTATTACATAAAATATAAAAAATAGGTACCTATTCAAGTCATTTTAAATATGTGTGTAATCTATCTGTATCTATGTTTTAGATATACGTAGGTTCAAAATATATCTTTGTGTATAATGAAAAATATACATACATATTATATTCTAATACTACAATTTTATTCTATATTTCATTACCTGACCTATATCAATATTATGTGAAAAATCGGTGTATTTAGCAATTTGCAGTTGCAGTAAAAGTAAATATCAAAATAAATAGACATTATCCGTACACAAAACATTAGTATATTTTTGAAAAAGCCTTTTAGAATAAAATACTGACTCAAAAACATCCGTAAAACAGTAAACACTCGGAACAATGAACTCGGAAAATGTTGGAAAACCCACCCAAAAATATTGTACATAAAAAAATATAAAATTAAAATAAAATATGTTATACACAAAACATGTAATTGAAAAAACAAAAACACTTCTACGTATTTCTTAATAATACATATTAATTATTTTACAACTTGTGTTTTTTTATGTAAGACTAAGCATGAGTGATTGTGGCAGTGATGACGACGTCTAGGAACAGGATAAATGTTACAGAAGTGAATATTTTTACTTTCATGTTCATTGTCTTTGATTCTTAATAGAAATCGATCCAAAAAAATTATCTATCGAACTTTTAATTGTGAAGTTCTCAGAATTCTCTACTTTCTTTGTAAGCACAATCAAGTATATAAATTATTATGCAATAAATCGATTTTTTAAATCAATATAAATATCTTTTAAGGCTTACAATACCACTTCTGGTCCGAATTCATTGCTCTTGAGTGTATTGAGATAATTTAAATAAGTATGAATCGACTTTGAACATCCTATTTAGAAGTTTATTTTCTGGAAAATATTGATGTGCATTTTTTATAGAGATACAAACAATGTTTAGATTTAAGTTTCGTGTATATTTAAGAGTATGTTTACGCTTGACCGTATTTACTCACGAGTCTGACAAAATTTAAATAACTGAACCTTCTTTTATCCTTCTCTTAAGTGTAGGTAATGAAATTATTGAGACAAACCTCTATAAGGTGCTTAAAATTAAAAATCTCTTTCGTATTTGAGTTTCAGTAGCAAATACGGCACGTGGAAATCGGTCTAGTGTAAATGAGCCTTGTACAATTGTGTTTCATTAGTCAAATAAACGTTAATTTCATTCAGTATTTGTTTTCTTAAGATCCTTAAAATCTTGTTTTCCTTATTCCTATATTCATAAATACCAAAAGATTAAAGACGATCGATAAAGATGATACAGATGACAACCATCAAACTAAAATTTTGTCATCTTGAAAAAAAAAGGTATAGTAAATTATTAACTTGGTTGAAAAGCACACATTCTTGGGAGACTAGAATGCGTCCACAGAATTCAGTAAATGATTCTTTTTCTCAGATGAGCCAAATAAATGGGTTATGTAAAGTTCTCCGCAAACAATTTGTATTGCAGGAAACTGAAGAGAAAAAGAAGAGGAGGTCAAGTTTTCCGAAAATAATAGGCATTAGAAGCAAGAAAAACAAAACATCACAGTGCTTTAGTAACCGTCTTTGGTCAGCCGGAATCTGCAGTTGTAAACCCAAGTAAGACCTCTTCCATCCCACTTTTCGTTTATGTGCGTAACCTGTCATTTTTACGCTGTCTGTATTGCCGTTGTCCTTATAATATTTCCCCATCATGGCAACAGTAGCGACGTCATAAGAACTTACCGTTGTCCACTTTATTAACGGGGACTACAGTACACTCGGAACAATATCATCATAGACCCTAAACAGTAACAGTGGTGTAACTGCTCAGTTCAAATAGTTGAACTACGGTTGTGTCATGATCCAACGATTTTATAGTTGAACTAACATCGAATGCTACTTTAGCAGTTTCTAATTACACCCGACACGTGTCACCAACTCCGGTGTCTCGAGCGCCCTTAATTGCTTCTACAAGGGCTACTTATCAGCCCTCGAGTAATCTTCAATACGGATTCCTAGAAAAAAGCTTTCCTTGAGAAACGTAATACGCGGTCTTCATCGGCGTGTTTCTTCAATACCTATCGGTAATAGGCTTTGTACGAAACGTTTTCTGCACATTGCTCTTTTAATTTTCTGAATTTTTATGAGTGGTAAAATCGAAAAAAGTTTTTTGTATGTAGGTAGCTACTTCGCTTTGTGAAGAGATTCGATTTTCGAAGCTATGAAAAAGTGCCGCTTGTCTAAGAAGCTGGACTTAAGCGTTGTATACAGGACGGTACATCCAAAACACCCAGTCAAAAGCCCGTTTCCACCTGTCCTTACTGGGATTCAAATGGGGCTCTCACTTAGGCGATACCCCACGCCTGCCCGTGATACCCGCCTGAATATCTCGAATCGGAATCGAATTCGGAAAGCAGGCAGCGGGCGGAATACTAAATAGTGGGCAAATGAAGGACAATTCTAAGTAAGGCAGTCGTGCCCAGTTCAGTAAACCGTATAACCAAGTCGTGGAGTAATATTTCATGGCCCGATTGATCAGGCGATCTAACGTGTCCCATGAAGCATGGATATTTTTTTTATTTGCGGGTACTTCTACCTTCTCAGACTACATTCAAAATATCATTAAATATTTAAATAAAAAAAGAAAAGTAGGTACGCAGAAAAAACTATTAATACCCAAATTAAAGTAGGGTCGAACAGCTAACGGTTGTTTTGTGTTGTCTTTCGTACTCTAACCAATTGATAGAGAATCTCGTTCAGATCGATCATCGATCTGGACCCCCTGATCCCTGATGATGTTCCTCTCATAGCGGCAAATTCTTGGTTAGAAGCTAGTCAGTTACTTTCGTTCCAGACTGCCATTAACTTGCCTTCACCATATTAGTGGTTTTGATTAAATTTTTTACATGGTTTGGAAGTTTTGTATTAGTTCTTTAACATCGTTAATTATTTTGTAAAAAGGTAAACCATTCAAGTCTTTTTATTTTACGTACTAACACATGGTTTGAAGTAGTATCTGTGAAAACTACAAGTACATCGAGGTATTCAAGGAAGTTATGTTTGCTTACATAAACAAGTACCTACCTACATATGTACTGCGTAAGTGCGTAGTACATACCTCAGGTGGTTAGGTATACGGCTGCCATGTTGTATGGTGACTCCAAGGTCCTGTTATTGTACTTCAATGCTAAAGGAAGTTACAAACTTTGGTTTCAGTTCCACAATGTTGTTATATTATTCGTAACACAGGTATTCTTTGTATATTTTACTAACTTATACAAAAATCATGCGATCTTAGATGATGTTATTGTTTACTTTTTGTTCCAGGTTACCCTTGTCTTCTTCTTCTAGTATGCCTCTATTAATTTATTTATGGAAGTACTTAGTAGGTAAATAATTGGTTAGGCACTGATTCGTTTGATCATATCCTTCAGTAATTAATTTTCAATTTTATTAAAGAAACATTTCAGACTCGGGCAGAACTATCCAATAGAAGTATTAATTAAAATATCTATTTCCAAATCTTGTTTTGATGGCTTATATCTTGGGGAGAGTTTCCCCGAAATTCGTAAAGTGCGTGGCGTGAGATTCAAAGGATTCTGGGAAAGAGCGGGCTCTAGGTCTCGGGTGAGACTCGCCGGGAATATGGATCAGTTCCTAAAACGTGTTGGAAATAAAGAATGGTTTCGAATGGAAACCTTTCGTGTTCTTGTATTATAAAAAGAGTAGGCATCCATCTAAGAAAAGCCCAATTTCCTGAAAAAATATTACGTAAAGTATGAAAATTCAAGGAAAATCCATTACCAATATCAAGTAAATTGTTAGAAGCTAGAATTGTTAATTCGTTTTAAAGAAAGTAGTGAAACCGACCTAAGAATAAGAAGATTTAATTTTATTAGACAACAATAAGGACAAAAATATGTGGAATGTTCTTACTGCTGCTAAAAAAGAGGTTGACAACAACGGGCTGCTTTTTTCAGCAGTGGGTAGATATTCCCATTAAATGCAAAAAAAATAAACTTATATTTTGGAGGGAATATAAAATCTTCAACTAAAATTATAAATAGGCAAAATAAGTAAATAATAATACTAATCAAAACATTAAGACTTCTGAACAAAATTCGCGGTACATTTCACGCCTTCCCGCAAAGTCGCTGCAAAACCACGCAGCTGCGTTACACCGCCGCAGCAGACGCGCGCAAAATGCAGCCGAAGTCACGGAGACGGAGCTGTGAACTTGTCAGTCGCGTCATCGGTCTGCAGCGGCGCCGGCCGGCGTACCCGTGACATACTTCAGTGCAGGCGGAACTACAATGCTATTATCGATTCGCTTATGACAGAAAATGCGTTGAATGGACACGGGGAGGGGCGCGGGGCGGCCGGCCGCGCGCGCTCCGAGGCTCAGTGCGCGCGGGGTGGCGGGCTGCGACACCGCCTCTACGCAGCCCGCTTACGGAACTTCCGAGTGCAGTGCAAATGCTTGTGTTTTTATGGCGTTCATATTACTACGACTGTTGGTGCTGGGTGTGATCGCGGCGGCGGCCGACGGTGCGTTCATGATGTGTTGTTGTGCCCACGTGGTGGCCGGTGGTGTTTACGGCGGCGGGCGCATGCGTTGCGCTTGTTTGCTTCGCGGGTCAACCGCCTAACCTACGAAGCCTACATATACGTACCTATCTGGTGCGTCAAGTAAGTCTAGGATATGGATCAGGAGATGATGCGAGCCCCGGCAGGCAGGTAATCGATGCGGCTCACATTCCCACTCACGTCCTCGCCTAGTTCCTTCGTTTCAAAACAAACAGGTTTTGGCATTCCTCTAAAACGTCCTCACTGCTCTGTTATTACCGTGCAGCATAAACCGCGTTACTCTCATGTTTACTGTTTTTGTTACAACATCGTTTCTGTTAAGTTAACCTTTTTAATCTACCCTTTTTTAAAGGGATAGATAAATGAAGTTACACGGAAGTTTCGGTGAATTTCGTTCTAATAACAATTCAGTAAGATCATTCTTCTTATAAGATTCCAATAACATTTGTCTACAACTTTCTAATTAAGACGCAGTTACGTAGCCTCCAGCAGGTTTATTGTCAAATACATTAGTATTGTGCTTGTTTTTCTTCTCTATCGGCATGTTAATCCTTTCATTCATATGTATTTTAAAGCGATAGTAAGTTAATTGGTATCCTTGCTCAATGGAATTGTTCGTACTTAGCTTCAACTAATGTAGGTATAGGTAACGATCAAGATATAACATAGTAAATATCTATACCTAACTATTGTTAGTAGCAAATGGGCAAGTCATGATGATCTTGAAAATTAAGGATTCTGTCATGAGAAAATTTCATAACCAGTCATTTTAGAGAACAAATATGAAGACCAAAATGCGCGAAAGTTATTAGCTCTGCAAAATAAAGTCCTTCCAAAATTTTGTTGATAAATTAACACCTCATGCGATGCTCTAAGGATTACAAATGACCTTTATGTTACGGTGATCCTTCATAACACAGACCCGTTACAAAAATAAACGAAGGTAATAAAAGTACCAATTTGCGGCAATCAACATCAATTATGTCTATAGAAAATCTTAAACATAACGGAACTAGATACAAAACATAACCTGCCTAAAGTAGAAAGAAATTTTAGGATATAATTTCAGTCAAAAACTTTAGTAAACAATTCAAAATTGAATTAAGTATTACTGTTTTAGTATATTGAGAAGACAAATATCACTGTTGAAGTGAAAGTCGGGCGCTAAAGAACGTATTTCGAAGGTCTGATCGAGTGAACATGTTAAAAGGAACTATTGTTTCTGTAGTGCAGAATAAGTTTGGAGATGCGACGGAGATATTTGCAAAGTCGACGATAAAAACAATAAATAGCAACAAACTTTCCAAATCTTAAGTCCTCTTAAGCCAGATAAGAAACGACACTCAAGACTCGATTCAAAGTTCAGCATAGATAACAAACCTGGGTTGAATTCCAATATTCATCAGACAAATAACAGACTTGAATGTAGGTAGGAAAATTCATTCCAGAGTTCTTCAACAAGAGTAGAGTTCACATTTAAAATAACTATCTAATGAGTAAATTACAACCAAACGCTATTACACTACTTACTTTGTGTAATTTTGTTTCATGAGATATTCGGAAGAAATTAGATATAATTTTAGTTGGACGTTCTGAAGATAGTCTATCTTCCAGGATCTCGCAGTATTACACGAGAAGCGAGAATCCTTCCAACAAAAACAGCTCTTATCATTAAGTACCTATGTATAACCAAACCGTTTTACGTCCAAAATAGTGGATTTGTCAGGAAAATAACATCCAAATAGAATTGTGCCAGATCTTTAATCAAATACGGCTTAATTCGAAGAAAAATAATGTGGAGTATACTTGTTACAAGATTAGTTACGTATTAAACGTTCGACCTACGTTACATTTCTACGAAAACAACCTATTAATGCCGATACACTAAAAAGATACTTAAAGGCTTCTTCGTCTGATATCAGTATTTTGTTGTTAATAAATAATTATGAGCTATTAAACAATCGTGAAGAAACCTATCAAGTTGCTCAGTCGTAGGGCTGAAGATTTGGCAACTTCTAACAATGTCACCGAAAAACTTTCCCTTATCCATCGGAGTGAGATGCCGAATTATTTGCAAAGTGAGCTTAGGAAGCCGGCACGTAGAAACTTAGGGATTTAAGCACGCGTTAATAATTAAAACTCGTGGTCTACATGAAAGTTCGACTATTCCTTTGTTCGAGGTTTCTTGTTGCCAGTTGCCACTGGTGATTGGGCAACTAGAAGTAGAGACTTGCGTCTAAAACTCTTTTGTAATGTACTAAGCTCAGAGCCTTATTTCTTATTAGCTATTAAATAAGACATCCGGATTGTGATTCAAGAACATTTCGAAGAACAATTTTTATTTCCCCCATGAAGCATTACTAGTCGTTTGACATGGTGCTCGAAAAAATATAAAAACAAACAGAAAAATGAAGTTCAAATCACGCAAATCAAAACATTTGGCTTCTGAAATCGTTAGATAAATAAGTAAAAATACACCTGAAGTTGGAAAGCAATTTCGTCTCATTCAAATCACCCAATAAATATCGCGAGAATACGAGGGTAGTCTCTTAATTTACTTCGACAGTTCTAGTTTAGAAGTCCTGGATGAAAGGGGACAGTTGTACGGCCTCCTGACTCCTGTCTGTTTTCATTTATTGACTTCTAGTCAAAAATGAATAACACGAGTATCAGGATTAGGCACATTGTTGTTAAGAATAACACGAATTTGAATAAAATGTAACAGAATAAAAAGGGCAATTTTCAATGTGTGTAGGTACTTAATACATATTTATGACATGTTCCATTGGTCATGAGGCTATGATCGTATTCATTGAATTATTTCCAAGATAAATTCCATTAATATTTATTGACAGTAAGTAGACAATCGAAGTCTTAACAATACACTGTTATTCTGCGTAATGGCTGCTCAGATAATTATTATTTGATTGATATTTTTAGTTTATCGCTTGCTTGTATTACAGTAGGTAAATCCGTAAGAATGTAAAGCTCTTTTCGCCAGCGCGTAATTTGTGGCCACACAGATATCGTAATAAAGCCAATAAATTATATTTAGTTGCTCGGAATCAAAACTGGGTTAAACAAGGTCGCGGTAATGGTGTGTTTATGTGTTTATCGGGACAAACAACAGTAATTTCTTAGTCTAGTCACAGAAAAAATGAAAAGAAAGGTCAATGTCAAATAAAGTATACAAATGATATGATCTTAGATGAAATCACTGCTGAATGTGTTACCTACATTTATGAAGACATGTCTGTGTATCCTCATGAATAAGGGAACGGGTAACATTGTCATTAATCAGATAACATCTTGTTTGAAGTACTTATTAAAATGATTAGAATCAAATCAACAACAGTCTGTAAAGCAAGGCATAAAACCGTTGGATACGTTATCTATGAAAACAAATCCGTTGGATTTATTTAATTTGACACTCGGTTCGCTAAATCCCACACGATAGGAGATACGTCACGGTCATGTTACTTTAATTACTTCATCTATTCCTAATGCTTCGTCTTGATCGTAATGAAAATGAACGATCCGGAGCGACGGTGGGCTTATCCATTGAAATACTCAATTACGTTATCTATTTCTACGTCCCCATTATTACGCAATCAATCTAAAACCTGTCTAAAACGCTCAGTTACCGACGTTTTCCATTCTGAATGCCCAAAAGAGGCCCTCACTTATTTTTTATTACTCGCGTTTCGCTTAAAAAAGACAGTTGCGTGGTAGTACAAGCCATAATCAAGGCCGAGTGACTTACCCAATAAATTGTTGAAGATTTGCGGGCATTCCTATGGTTTGGCGTGTCCGATGCCCCCATTGTCGAGGTGGGCCATATTGTGTTTTGGTAGTAATTAAGGCCATCAACGGATTCGCTGCGAAGATTGTTCTCGGAGGCTTTCGATATGAAAATGCCCTTGGAGATCCATTTATAACAACGGCTGTGGTTGTAGATACTGCGGAGTTTGAAACGGAACACTCGATGTTTGCGTTGTAGTAATTCAGTGAATTACGTGTATCGTCGATGCCTCAAGGTTGTTCTGTTGGGCATGTGCAGCTGTACTGCGGATACAGACTTAAGAAGGCATTACGTATGGGGACCGTTCGGGGTATAACTACGCGTGAGCCTTCAGGATTGTGAAGAGCGGGCAGCCGGCCAAAAACTCAGCATTTAGGGAAAGCAGGGCATCGTATCTAGGACTGTGCCCAATATGTTACATGAAATATGGGCGGAGAATGACGACATCGTATTTCGTGAGCAGACATCATGAGTAAATGTAATGCTGCGTTCAAAAATAATAAAGAATTGTAAATTGGACTTGCTTATTTACAAGTTCTTTATTTGCTTCTGGTATTAGAAAGGGTAGTGTTTCTGCAGTGGAGGTTCTCTGATGATGAGGATTTTGAAGATTTACAAGCAATTACCTACAAGTGCCTAATCATAGACCATCACTGAAAAAGGGTTATTTCAAGACAGAAAATATTGCGCAGGTTTATTATAGAACCTGTAAACCTGTGAAGTAAGAGTTTGTCGCGCTTCTCACCACTGGCCCACTTAATTGTTTTGTACCAGAGGTAGGGCAAAGTTACGAGTAGGTATTATTACATCGTCTTTGTTATCGTGCTTAATAAGGCTTTAACTCACTCAAAACTTAATGTTTTTATTTTACATTGTAGTAAATACATACATTGTAAAGTTTAAATTAGGCTCGTTATCAATTAATATTGACGTTAATAATAACATAAACTTGTCTACCATATCTAAGAAAGGTCAAACCTGAAAGTGGATAAACTTTACCCACCAATTTGTTTGTTTGGAATAATTTTATCTGTAATTTGACAACAATAAAAACTGCTATTATCTGCTTAATAGACGAGAGGCCGTACGTTATTGCCGTCTCTATCGATCTCCGATGCAAAGTGAATCGGATATAGGTATTAGACGATACATCGAAGTC